TTGTTGAGAGGTTCTAGGTGCTGAAAAATTATGGCTAATACCATTAGAATTACAAAACTCAATAAATCTAAGATTTTCAAATTCAGTACCATGATCACTCCTAACACTAGTTATAGAGTAACCTTTTTCATTTTGGATTATTTTTGAAAATGTGATGAAATGTTCTAATGCTTCATCTTTAGTACTTAAAAATAGAACTCAAGTACATCTAGAATAGTCATCTACTAAGACAAATGCATATTGTTTTCCACCCAAGCTAGTAGTCCTAGTTGGCCCAAAAAGATCTATATGGATCAATTGTAATACTCTACTAGTTGATACTTCATTAATGGATTTAAAAGAAACTCGCTTTTGTTTTCCTTTAGCACAAGTATCACAGATTTTATCATTATCAAATTTAAGTTTAGGAAACCCTCGAACTAAATCACCTTGAATTAGCCGTTGCAGAACACTCATACTAGCATGTCCTAGTCTCATATGCCATAACCAACTATCATGTTCATCCTTAGCAACTAGGCACAAATTAGTCATATCAATAGAATCTAAATGCACCATGTATATGTTTCCTATTCTATGACCAACAAGCATAATCCGATTAGATGCAATGTCAATGACTTTACAACCATTAATATCAAACATGACATTGAATCCCTTATCACAAAATTGACTAATACTCAATAGATTATGCTTTAATACATTCATATATAAAACATTCTTAATTTGTATGGAAGAGGTATTACTAATAGTACCAATACCTTCAATGTGACCTTTTGAATCATCACCAAAAGTTACTTCTCCTCCATTTTTGGCATTAAGCTCAAAGAACCGGCTTTTGTCTCCGGTCATGTGTCTTGAGCATCCATTATCAAGGTACCATGAATTTGGATTTATTTCTCGTGCCTTGTAGCAATGCTCCTTTTCCTACAAACATAGATTAATTTCTAATTTTTGGTACCCAAATTCTTTTGGGTCCATATTCATTAGTTTCCAAAATCCTAGTCCCCTTAGGTATCTATTTGTGTAGGATATCCTTATCTTTAGTAGTAATGAGCTCTTTAGGAACCCATATACTTCTAATAATTTTTCCATTAGTGGTTATTTGGGGACCTCTATGATTGTAGTTTTTAAAACTTTTTCTAACAAAGTTGGATTTTGAATTTTCTCAATTTTCAAAACGTTTTGTTCCAACTTTATTAAAAGAAGCTTTAAGATCATCAATTTTCTTTTGATGATCATCATTGACCTTTGAAAGTAAATTTTGCAAATCTAAAATTTTCTTTTCAAACTCTTCTAGTTTGATTTGCAAATCTTTGATTTTACTTTCAAGATCGTTGTTGGTTTTGGATATGAGTTTATTTTCATTTTTCAATTTTGAAACATCATTTTTATATTTTAAAAACAATTTCTCATAATCCGAACCCAACCCATTATATTCCTCTAATAGCTCATCATAGGATAAATCATCAAAATCAGATGAGTTAGAGGTTACTTTAAAATCCTCCCCGAAAGCCATCAAGCACAAGTTTGTTACTTTTTGTTCCTCTTCATCGGAACCTTCTTCATTGCTCCATGTAGCCACATGAGCCTTGTGCTTATTCTTTGATTGACTCTTTCTCTTCAATTGTGGGGAATCATATTTGACATGCCTCGGCTTTTTGCATTCATAGCAAATGATCGGGTCCTTCTCTTTTGGTTCATTTTTGAGGCCTTCATTTCATTTGAATTTTCTCCCTCGGTAAGGTCTCATCATTTTTCTGAACCGTTTGGCAAACAATGTCATTTCCTCTTCATCATCATCTTCATCCAAATCACTCTCATCTTGTGTGCATTTGAGAGTAACTCCAATATTTTTCTCCTTCTCCTTCTCCTTCTCCTTTGGTGTCTCTTCAATCTTATCAAGGTTTACTTCATCTTCAAGAATCATTTCATGAGTGAGGAGTGAACCGATTAACTCTTCAAGAGTTAAGGACATTAGGTCCTTAGACTCGATGATTGTCATCTTCTTTGATTGCCACGATTTTGGGAGGGTGTAGACTAACTTCCTTACAAGCTTTTCATTTGAAATGATCTTTCCATATGATTTGAGACCATTGACAATCGTTGAAAATCTATCCGTCATAGCTTTGATATCTTCATTTGGTTTCATCCTGAAATTTTCATAGCTATGCGTTAGAATACTAATTTTAGATTTCTTTACCTCATCGGTACCTTCATGAGTGACTTGAAGTTTGCCCCATATTTCTTTGACGATTGTACAAGATGCAACTCTTCCGTATTCATCTGGTCCAAGAGCACAAAATATTATATGGATGACTTTGGAGTTGAGCTGGAACATTTTTGTCTCTCCTTCACTCCACAATCTTGGATGAGTGAGAGGCTTGATGTATCCTTCTATTACGACATTCCATGCTCCCATATCACTTGCTTGAATGAAGTACATCATCCTATTTTTCCAATAGGCATAGTTAGCTCCATTGAAGAAAGGAGGCTTGTTGACGGGCATCGAATCGAGACCGGAGTCGAAGTTTGAAGCAGAGGCCATTGATGACTTTGATTATCGATGTAACTCTTCCCGAATCGACTCAAGAGGCGATTAAACCTTCAAATGAGTTAGGCTCTGATACCAATTATTGAGTTAATCGATCGATGGAATCGGCCAAGAGGGGGTGAATTGGCAATAAAAATTTTGGTGTAAGCTTTTGCAAAAAATTGAAAATAATTGCACATCGATTTAGAATGATTCGACTTTCTCAACCAAAGTCTACATCCACTACCTTAGCTATCCACACTAAGGATTTTCCACAAATTCACTAATTTGTCTTTCTTTTGAGGACAAAGAGTAACCTTACAAACCCTCAAGAATTATACCCCAAATTCTTGAGAACACTCTTTCCCAAAGAGAACAATACAAATTTACAAACTTACAAAGAAATCATCACAAGGTAGATTGTTTACACAATTCTAGAACAAAGAAAAAAACACTTAAGAATGAATACAATTGAGCACAATAAGTGTTCTTGAAAGCAAAAATGAATATTGAATGAAAAATAGGCTTGAAATGCTCAAACTTGAGGTTTGATGCTTTCTCTTTGATTCTCTCTTGATTCTAGTTGCTTGATGTTTCTTGTTATTGATCAATGGCTTCTAAGCTTGTTTAAATACACCTTGAATCTCTTCTGAACGTTGGGGATAATTAGTGAAGTCAATAGAGCCGTTTAAGTGTGAAAACAATTAATAAATTCAGCTGGGAGCGTCTCATGCATCGATGCATACCCTAGGTGCATCGGTGCATCGGTGCATCGGTGTAAAATTCAAATATTTTGACTGTTGGACCCTTAGTGCATCGGTGCACTAAGAGTGCATCGATGCATTAAGTGCATTCGATGTTTCAAAATAGCTAGAGTGCATCGATGCATGGCTAGTGCATCGATGCATCAAATGCATTCGATGTTTTCATAAAATCCTCAGTGCATCGGTGCATGGTGTGTGCATCGATGCATGAAATGCATTCGATGTTCAATTTAATTCATGGTGCATCGATGCATTGATTGGTGCATCGGTGCATCACACTAAAAATTGATTTAAGGCTTAATTTTTGTTCAAAATATTTTAAATTAATAATAGTAATTGATGGGTCGTGGGTAGTTTGTTGAAATGGGGCCTGCAAAAATAATTATAAATTAATAATAGTAATAATATTATAATATAATATAATATTTTTATAGATCCGGACAAAAAAATGGGTGTCTACAAGTACGAATAGATTTCAAGTTAAAACTTTGACCTATCCGAACCCTTCTCCGTATTCAATTTAAATGAAATAAAAAAAACATTGAAGAGAATGTGTCCCAAATCAACCACAAAACTAATGGCAAAACATTTTTGTCTAAGAGCAACAGAAAAAAATTGGCAGTGCCCAACCACTCGTTCTGCAAAACAACCGTAAAAAAGTAAGGAATTTATCCAAAACCATTAATTAAGTTTTGGATAAATTATAGTTTTAGTATCTAAATTATTGCTTTTATTCTATTTTAACACCAAAAATTTATTTTTTTCAAAAATATACTTAATTTTTAATTTAGGTTTCAATTTGTTATCCGACATTAAAAAAATAATAGAACTACTGGTATTTTTGTTATTTTTTTAATGATACTGTGGTATTATTTTATAGTGACATATCAACATTACTGTTAAATTTTAACAACGAATTATTAAAATGAAACTTAAGAGATGATCATCCAGCTCAGTTGGTAGAGCACAAGGTTCTTAACCTTGGGGTCGTGGGATCGAGTCCCACGGAATGTATTTCATAATTCGGAGATCTTCTACGGAAGCTGCTCTCAATGCCATAACAAGGGTCAGCTAATTTTTTATTAAAATGAAACTTAAATTAAGCGTTAGATATGATTTTGAAACAAAATAATAATTTAAGTACCAAAGGTATAGTTACGCTTAAATTTTCTGTTAACGAAATTAAGCGCGTGACGTGAGTAACCCAAATCATGCATCGTGCTATGCTTAAAGATAAAAGGTTGATTTCATTTTTAATTTTATTCTTTAGAATATTGAACTTCATAATCCCTTGGCGGTTTTTTTTCCTTTTTGTTAGTTTTTCCAGCCTCTGCACCGGAGTTGAAAGCGGTGGCAGTGGCGGTGGAATTTTATTTTATTAGGATGGAACAGAAACTGTCGGTGGTTTTATTTTTTATTATGCTCAAATCGGGGAAGAAAGTGAGAGATCGTGGCCATATACATTCTTTTCTTTATTTTAATTTTTTACATTGAACAAATTACGAGAAGAGATGCAAAGGAACGGATGATTGAAAAGTTCATTTTTCTTCGAAATTCATTAGACAATTTTGTACGAAAACATGTTAATTTCTTATTGATTTTCCACGTTCCAACTCTCAGATACATTCGATTATATTAAAGGTGAGATTTTAATTGAAAACCCTTGTTTTTTAGTGTTTCAACTCCATTGCTTCTGCATTTTCATTATTTTTCAGATTAAAATAAAGAAAACCTTGAGTGTGTTTTGTCATTGAATGCCTCCCAAAAGTGAAGCTGATAGGGAAGATGGAAGAAATTAATAAAAAGCGATCTTCCCGACGTGCCAATAATGTTTTCCCAGCGCCACCTCCATTACCAAATTATCGGCGGAAGGGGGTAGTAATAAGCAACGGATCAGCTGTAAGAGGAAACAGATGTGTGTCAACAGCAGCCAGGGATTTTTGGGATAGGTTCTTTGATAGAGGCTATAAAGCTGATGTTGCCATTAAAACTGATAATGGTGGCATCATCCGTGCACATTCTAATGTTCTTGTAAGACCTCTTGTTCTTTGAAGAATACCCTTTTTTAGTTGGATCTGTAACAAATTATTTACTCAATTCCCTCCACTGGATCTTTGCTTACAGGTCATGGCTTCTCCTGTGTTAAGGGGTATGGTGAAAAAGGAAAAAAGGTTTGGTCAAAAGAGATCAATTTCAATCCATATACGTGGTGTTCCACGTGATGCAGCTCAGATTTTCATTCGATTTTTGTACTCTTCCAGGTAACTACACTGTTGAATTTTCCGGAAAATGGAATGGCAAGTTAAAATTGTTATCGATTTTGCTGTGTAGTTACGAGAAAGAAGAAATGAAGGGATTTGTGCTGCCGTTGTTGGTGCTGTCACACGCATATGTTGTTCCTCAGTTGAAGCGAGTTTGTGAACAGCAACTTGAGCATGGATTGCTAACCATTGAAAATGTAGTCGACGTCTTCCAGCTTTCAATACTGTGCGATGCTCCCCGGCTCTCGCTGATCGCTCACCGTAAGATCCGAATGAACTTGAAGACGGTTTCCGCAACCCAAGGGTGGGAAGCAATGAAGGAAAGTCATCCGACACTCGTAAAAGAACTTGTGGAATCCATGAATGACGGAGAAAATGGAAAGGATATTGTTCACAGGGATCAGAAAACCGGGAAATCAAATGAGCAGCAGATCTACATTCAACTATGCGAAGCAATGGAGGCTCTCGTTCACATTTTCAGAGATGGATGCAGGACAATTGGTCCACATGATAAGGATTTGAAAGATGACCGAACAACCTGCAAATATGGAGCCTGCTGCAAAGGGCTGGAATTGCTTGTTCGGCATTTTGCAAGTTGCAAGCTCAGAGTCCCTGGAGGCTGCGTTCATTGCAAAAGAATGTGGCAGCTACTCGAGTTACATTCCCGTCTCTGCACCGATTCGAATTTGTGTCGAGTCCCTTTATGCAGGAACTTCAAGGAGAAGATGAAGAAACAAAGCAAGAAGGACGAGATCAGGTGGAAAATACTAGTGAAAAGGATATTAAGAACAAAGAGAAATGATGGAGCTGTACCATTCTCTGTCTCCTCAAATTCCATCTCTTCAACATAAACCCAACCTTTTACTCAACCTCTGCCCCTACCATCCACAGCATCCGGTTCACTATATATATATAAAATTAAATTTAAATAAAAAACTTCACCCAAGGCTGACGCCAGTACTAATCCAGCTTGAACAAATAGTTCCATTTTTGTACAGATCTAGCCTTGAGTCATTTGTAAATATTCTTTTTATCCCAACTTTGTAAATACACTGGTCAAGCATGGGACATATTTTTGACCCGATTTATATAAGGTTTTAAAATATTCCTACTTAATAATTATATTAAAATTATATCAATTCAATCTACTTATAATACTAATTACTTAAAAATACTAATGTATAAATATTATAAAGACTTCAAACTTAAAAATATATATATTTACAATGACAACGAGATTTCGTTAATAAAAATAATAGAATGAATAAAAAATACAATGTATCCCAACATAAAGAGGAAAATGGGGACAATAGTCATACAAAAAAACTCGTACAAAAACAAAAATGTTAAACCCAAAAATATGAAGAAGAATGAAATCATCTTTTGAAAATGATCAATATCAGAATAACTCAATAAACTTCATAAAAACTCTTTATCTCTTTCGAACGAGACGTTTTACAAAGTGATAAAGGAGTAGTGAGCGAATCAAATTATCAGACAGGTAGCTTCGCTACACAATTATGGTTATATTGACAAACCTTTTACCAAGGAGGATGATTCTTCTTTAAATTGCTTTAAATATACAAAGCAAAAAAAAAAAATTAAAGGGTCAAAGATGGTGGTGGTTCTTTTTATTTCAATTGAAAAGAAATGGAGAAAACAAATAGTTGTATCTAGGGATGGACTAAAATAGATTAGCCAGGGAGATCGTCTCTGAAAAATTAAATTTCTTTTATACTTTTTATTAGTAATATGTTTTCGTCCTCTAAAATTTTATAATTTCACTCCTAATATAAAATCTTACGTTAATCCATGATTGCATTAGATTTATGAGCATTTTGTACTTCTATTTCAAGATATTGTTGGTTGAAGTCGATGTTATGTTTGATCGATTGTTTTACTTGAAAATGAGTTAACCCGAATCCTCATGAGTTGCTTGAAGTATCTGGCTGATTCTAATGACATGTTCATTAAGGTGTGAAGGCGAACACATGTTCATTCTAAAATCTGAATTTTCTTCAGATTATTCATTTTATTGATTGTGTCCACCATGAAATTTTATCTTAGTCCGTCCTATATGAAAGTTTTATGTGATTAATATATACATATATGTCTATCCTCAAAAATATTTCTAAAACCGTCAAATGGTTGAACTTTAAAGTAGTTTAGTTAACTCTGATCCTCAAGTTCCGACTTTGAGGAAACAATTGGATAATCACGAGATTCTCTTTAAACTAAAACATTCCATTGGTCTTCATAGTGCTAATTTCATTTATCTTATTCAATTAAGGCCCTCATATCAACTGCCTTAAATAAAGGACTTTCTACTGGGGATGTTGCTGCCTTATACAAGTACAAGAACACTCAATTGGATGTCAAAGTCGATACCGATTCTAACGCAGGGTTTTACATCATTGGTCTGAAAATTATTAAGTTTACCAATTCAGCTGAGAATCTCACATTTTTTTGACAGATCTCTGTTGGTAATGCTCAATCCCACATAGTATTGGAAACACTATTGGAAATGGTATCATTGGTCTGAAAATTATTAAGTTGACCGATTTCGGGTGTACGGAATTCGGAGCGACCGTGTTAACCTCGGAAGACGGTCCGCCTACTACAGCGATTACACAGCGAATTCGTTTCTAAGGCAGTGGTTTTTACCACGACACGGTTTACGAATTTATTCATTTTAATTACTGTTTATATTTCCAGTCAGTGCTAACGGTGTAGTTTTGCAGTTCATATATCCAACAATCTCAACAACGCTTACATTCACTGGCATTCTTAAGTCCACCAAGATTAAAAGTTTCTACCAGCTACCTGTTTTGCAGTTGGAGATTCAGTATTTTCGTGACCATGCAACCTTCATTACAGCTATTGGTCCGAACCAGACGCCAGTTGTTGATGCCACTGCAACCGTTGCCACACCCACTATTGCTTTGGGTGAAGAGGGAGGTTACGATCATCCAGAAATATTTTATAACCATTTTCAAATATCAAACATGCTTCTATAATATAAATTTGTGTATTAGTGTTACTAGTCTCATTTTCAAGTCATAATTTAAATACTTACACATGCTGATATGATATCATCATCAAATGAGCAACAAGCACACTAAACATCAAACTCAATTTTCAGTCGCATGGAAATTTAAGCATACACTTACCTTGTTTACCTTTAGGTGCACATTCTATGTTACTACAACATTTTAGATGGACTTTTGTTAGTCTGAATTACCACTATTTTTTTTAATTTAGTGGCAATGATCTAATCATTAGTTCAACTTGATTGTTGTTGCATGAATTAATAGTATCTGCTACCTGCCTCATGGCTCCTGTTGATTTAAGGTAGTACTGTTTTAAGATTATCTAGCTACCATGCTAATGCTGTATACTGGGATATGGCTTCATTCAAGTTTCTGACATTTATTACCATGGCTGAAATAAATGATGTTGCTGCTTTAAGGCAATGTTTTGTTTTTGAACTCTGTGTAACGTAGTCAACACCAATCAGGGAAGAGCACAGTTCATTGTAATGCTGTGTCATTTGCATGGAGCAACTCTCAACTCTTTTTTTACCTACAAACTTCGCAGAGCTAAATGATGTTGTGCAAAGTTAAATGAGAGAGAGTTGTTTTTGTTTAAGTGGCCATTAGCCAACAAAAATACTCAAATTGCTTTAACACACCCACTTACAAAACGGCAGTTCAATCGTAGGCTTGCAGACGAGACAAATCACATCTCAAAGCGTGGCATCATAAATGCCTATCTCTGTTTCTTTTTGCTATATCTGTACTCTTTTACTTGATGATAAAGTTATAGAATCCCTAAAAACTCTAAGCTCATTTACCAAATGTTCATAAAAACGAAGCACTTAATGGATTAATCTCCCATTCTCTTCTTTACAAGCCTAATATATTTACAGTTACAGACAAGATCGTGGTCCATATACCAGGCCAGCATGATGTTGAGTCTGGTGCATGGTTCCAGCAATGAACTAAGACCAAATGGTGAATATCCACTCATACCATCTGCACAAGTTCGCAACTGACATCAAGAAGATAAACAACAAAAGGAACTGAATTAGGGTTAAATTCTGGTAATCATTAAGATATCAAAATATAGAGCTCTATAATTTGAGTTCACAAGAGAAAACCGCATATACATTGAAGTTTTACGTAAAAAAATGGATGTAAAAATGTCTGATCACTCTCATTATTCTCTTGGATGTACATGAAAAATATTGTATTGTCCAAAAGCATGAAAGTAAAGGATGTCAAAATGTCCTGCTGCACCATGTCACTATTTATGGGATATATTATTTGTCAAAATCAATGGGAAGAAGAAAAGCATCCATAAAGAGGAGAAAACTGATGAAAGGAATTGAAAGTTACTGCCAGTTTTCAATGGGATTTTCTTATGAAAGAAGTCCAATGATACTATAGAAAACGAACAACAATTCCTTTCTACATCTTTGTTTCAGAAACTTTTCAACCATATAGAAGAAAGGTTGAAGTAGATCCATAGAAACAAGAAAAATAAAATCGGTTTAATGGATGTGAAGTTGCAATGAAGGTTTGTCGACTGGCAGAGCTGCAGGAGGTAATATCACGACTATCCCTCTTAAACAGCCAACTTGAGCAACCACTTAGAAAACCTGTGTTTTCAAATCTATGAACATAGTTCAATAAGAAAAATTTAGAACGGATTAAAGATGACTTACCAGGTATCTAGCATCCTGGACTTCAATGCTTTCTCAGCTGCTTTAGCAAAAACTTTTGCTGCTTCTGCTTCAGCTTCTGCCACTTCTGCCTCTCTTGCTGCCTTTTCAGCTTCTGCGATTGCAACTTCTGCCTCTGCAACTGCTTGTGCTGCAGCTGCAGCGGCTTCTTCAGCAGTCATATTCCTCATTTTCAACAAATCTGCATCAACTTGGGTTTTATTAAGAATGCCGATGCCTTTCTTCTTTGCTTTTGCAGAATCTTTCTGCCTTCCTTCCAAAAGAAGCAGAGGAGATTTCCTTGCTTCAGAAATAGTTGATTGCGGTGCAATCGTGTACTTGTGCTTTACCTATTGACAAACACATCATAAATATGAATTAGCCCCAACTAATGAACATTAGACTTGATCTTAGAAAACTGTTTCCCCATTTATGGGTAGATATGCCGATACCTTTTGCATGTAGATCAGAAAAACCAACATCAACATTCATCCAATTAATGAGGAAGAAAAGTACCATGTTTTTGGATACTTTTTCCAAATAGGAAGCAACCCTTCCCCTATGTCTTCCTTTAAATCTAATATTACAATTGGACATGCCGTAAAAGTTACCTTAATATTGTTTTTCAGGAACATCAATGGCATAAAAGTTTCATCCAAGCATTTCTGTCAAAATTCTAAGGACCTTTTCGATGAACCTGGAACACTAGTGTTGAATTTATACACGTGACAAAGATGATAATATACTGTTGATACTGGAGAACCAGTAATCAACAGTATGGTTACCTTTATCAATGTCCCGTTTGCTACCAACCCCTTTAATTGAGTTGCCATTAGCTTCTTGAGGTTTGGTGGAGCAGCATATTTCGCCTATAATGTCAAAGATCAAATTACTATAGATGTTTAAGGGAAAAAAATTCAGAATAGTTTCTGAGCTAAGCTTTAGGCTATAAGCCTTGAAAACAGAAACCGAATAAGAAATAAGGAGAAAGTGAAAACAGAACAAGTCAGAAGGAAAATAGTTGACATATAAAATATTAGAAAAATTAAAAGCCACCGTCAGTTTAATTAAATGGGTATTTTTGGTATCTTAAGAGTAATCCGAATTCATGAGCGATCAAAGAAAGAAAAGCACCTCTATGTATACAGCAATTGAAGCACTGTCAGAACCGCCTGGTTCTTTCAAAATGGTGATAGCCTCTAGTAAAATATTGTCTAGCCTACAACATTGAGAGTACATCACTTAAGCAGCAATGAATATGCCTGTACAAAAACAGAATAGCATGCCTCTAACACAAGATTGTTTTGGCCTATAAAAACCAAGAAGTTAGATAATTTTGGTTTTCATCAGTTAAAAAGTAAGTACAAAAGCCCTAATGGGATAAATATGTGTATTTATAGCCAGTTTAAAGTATGTAGGAAATAATATGTTTTGCCCTGTGCGCCTTTTCATGTTGTAAGATGTGAGCAGTCATCACCCAAGTTCAACTAAAGGTAACTTCAATATAATAGAAATATGTGTAATAAATAACCTTGAAATTGATTAAAAAACAACTTAAATTTGGTTTTTTAGGTGCAGTTGCTCTTTGTTCTAAAAGTCATGATCCAATATCCGGGCACTCATGTATCCAGGTTCAACTAAATTAAATCCAATGTTATATAAGAATATATGTAATGAATAACCTTGGAATTGGTTTCTTGGGACCTGTTTCCCTTGGTGTTCCACTAGAAACTGCGAGCGGCTGAGCATCAACGACCTCTTCTCTAGGAAGTACAGTGATTAGAGCCACTGGATTATCATCAAGTTTAGTGGCCAACTGATTTCTTTTAAGAGCAAGCTTGGCCTTTTGCCTCGATCCCCATATGGCCGTTGCATTTATATTTCTCCATTTATCCTGGTCAAATTGAAACTATACACATTAGTTCACCTCAATGCAGGACAGAACATTGGCAATCAAAATAACAGAAAGAAGTGCTTCAATAATTTAGGAGCAATTAGTAAAGGCACTCCTAGGATACAGCAACCTTTGGTTACTAAACCAGAAAAATAAATGTTTATCCAACTGTACTTAGTAAATCCTGCTTGAGGCTCATCTACATACCTTGAGATCCACATTTGAGCGTGAACACAAGACAGAACTAAACTCAGGATCTGAAAGTATATTGCGCCATTTACCAGTACCATGCTTAAGAACTCCTGCCTTGAGAGCAGCTTCTTCTTCCGCTGTCCATTTCTGCTTAGGGGCACCCATTAACAGATTCCTGAAACTCACAATGAAAAAAATATTAAAGAATGGAATTTGAAAAAAAATCAGCCACTTATACCGTCAATCTTATGTGCTATGAGCCTATCCATCAAAGTTTAGACAACTGGAAGAAAAAAAACATTGCAATTGAAGAAAAATAGGTGCCAAAACTGAATTAAACCATTTGAAAAGCAATTACCATATTAACGTAATGACCTGACATTCACTGACTAATTATTCTCCAAATTTTGCCGAACAGGATGATATGAGACTCATATTGTCACACCATAGTGAAATTCCAGTAGAGTAAAATTTAAAACATCACAATAAAAAAAACATACCAAAATAATGAGAAATTAGAAACAAAACAGAAAATAAAATCCTTGATGCAGATAAGTTTAGACATTTGCATTTGATTAGGAATATCCTTGCGGGTGACGGTTCGTTATGGATTGCATGGATTAAAACCTATTTTATCAAAAATTCTGATTTTTGGATCATGGAGGCTGGGATCAATTCAAGCTGGAGCTTTCAAAAACTGCTAAGTATGAGGCCTCAAGCTGCCTCTGTTCTTGCTTCTGGAGCACAATCAATCAAAGACATATGGTACCTAATTCGAAACAAAGAGGACAAGGTCACTTGGCATAAGCTGATCTGGTTTCCTCTTCATATTCCTAAGTATAGTATTATTACTTGGATGGCTTTCCTTGACAGATTACCAACTAAAGATAGGTTGATTCGAATGGGGTTCAACATTGACAGTAAATGTGTGCTTTGTATTGACTCGATGGAAACTAGAGATCACTTGTTTCTCCACTGTACTTTGGCAAATTCGGTATGGAACTCTGTTATGAATCTCAATGGCATTTGCAGAGGATCTTGTTCGTGGGGGTACTCACCTTTCGTGGGCTTGTGCTTCCTGGAAAGGAAAATCATTGCTAACTACTCTCATGAAGCTAGCTTGGACTACTTTTACTTACACTATTTGGGAGGAGAGGAACAAAAGAATTTACCAAGGACGCTCAAGAAATTTTGATGACTTACTCCTTGCTATTAAGATTCTGTTGCTATTCAACTAAGGAGTAGGGAAATTAATAGAAATGACTATGTCATTAGTACACTTTGTAATCAATGGGGTATAGATTATTGATGTTTTGTTTTGATGTTTATAGCTTGTAAGTAGTGGTTTTTTTTGTAAGAACAGGCTGTATTTTTGAAGCAGCTTCCTGCTCTTTTGGATATAAAAATTGATTTATCAAAAAAAAAAAGTTTAACATTTAGACAAAGTTATACAAATCCAAAGGCCTTCTAAAGCATAAAACTTGAACTTTCAACATCTCTTGACTCAAATTATACATAAATTTAGATTAAATCCATCACCACATGCATTCACAGCTTAAGAAGTGTACGTATAACCATTAATCTCTAATTTCCTCTCAAAATAAAATAAAATTAGAACCCGAAAAAGGCTAATTAATGAAAACTTAAAAGTCCAATAGATTGATATCCAACTTTTTTCTCCTCTACAGAGCAATACTAACAATGCTAAAACAACAAGAAATCAGATTACTGCATTTCATCCAAAGCTTAGACTTCGAAGAAACTTAAAAAACATCAATTTATCTAGAAAATTCGAAAAAAAAAACTCTGCATTAAATACTGAATTACGAATTATGAGTGAACTTCTGTTGAGGAAATTGAGGAGCAAAATTGGAGTACCTGATCGGAGAAACGCGCGGAGCATGGTTATTTTTTTGTCGAGAAATTTCTACTACAAAACAAAGAACTGATGGAGAAAAAGTAGAAATGGAGAATACTTTTATTTTATTTTTGTCCACAAGAATAATAAATAAAATGGAAAATTGGAAATGTTGATTTTTCACTACAACAACCTTTCTTTCGGAGGCATTTATATCTTTGGCTTACTATTGGGATGAATGAATGTATGATGAAAACTTCGGTAAAATGTAGGAGTAAAAAATAATTTGCTGCCCCTAATCTTTTCATAAATTAAATTTGGTAATTATAATCGATAAATTAATTTTTTAATATATATTATCTTGTAATTACTCGTTATATCATATTAAATTATAATAGATAAATTAATTTTTTAATATATATTATCTTGTAATTACTCGTTATATCATATTAAATGATTTTAACATTATCATGCCACTTCTCTCATTTAATTTGGGTCCTACTTAATTACCCCAACCAAATTCCACAACTGACAGATTAATCAAAGACCACCAACTCTAACAAATTTCATAACAGTCAATATTTGCAAATACCATAAACAGCTTTCTTAAGCACTAATCTTGACCAATAAAATTTTTATTTGTTGATTAGTCGTTGATCTTTGTTGAACTTCAACTTTAGAAATCACATAAATCATATTTCAAAGGCTTACATTAATCCTATTCTCTACATCGTATTTATACTACATGTAGGCAGTTTATATATCAACGCAGCTATTCCTAACCGAATACAACTGGCTGATATAACAGCCTAACAGAACCTTAACCACTCTATTATATATCAACAACTTGATGCTGCCCATGGACATAGTTGACACGTAAAATACCATTGGCCACCTTATTTTGGAACAAAATATATATTGAATTCAACATGTTTGGAACGCGCATGAAATGACGGATTAGCGCTCATAGCCATTGCACTGGTATTATTTCTCCAAACAACTGTAGGTTCAACCAAGCGAATCCCCATGTCATTCAACAGCACTCATAACCAAACTACTTCTGAAACTGCATCGGTAATCCCTCAATATTCGACCTCCGTTGTTGATCATGACAGCAATTTCTGTTTCCTCAAACACCATGTTACAAGGCTATCACCAAGATAAACACAATATCCTGACGTTGACAGTCTATTGTCAACATTACTAGCCTAATCCCCATTAGCAAAAGCATGTATACTAAGCGGAGTATCAACCGAGGTATAAAATACTAGGCCATGGCTCAACGTACCACTCAAATAGTGCATGATATTTTTTACGGCTGCCCAATGCATACCACAAGGCTGGTGCATGTATTGAGCTACCTTCCCAACACTATATGCAATGTCTGGCCTAGTGTGACTTAAATACAACAACGCACCCACTACACCTCGATCAACCTGGAGATTATCAAGAGGCTGACCAGCATCTTCTACCAATTTTGAGGACATTACCATGGGTGTTGGAGCAGGCTTTGCATTAACCATACCAGTTCGTTCAAGTAGTTCACAGACGTATTTGCATTGATCGAGAACTAACCGTCCATCACTTCTCTTAACCTCAAGCCCTAAGAAAAAAATCAGTTCACCTAAGTATTTTAGCGAAATTTTTTTACTTAGCAAGGTCACTACTTCCTCAATTCCCATTGGATCCCCGGTGATAACAATGTCATCGACGTATACCAAAAGTCCAAAACAAAAATCGACTTCGCATCACTAACCCGAGTAAACAACGATACATACGTTTGAAATCCTTTAAACCCAATATGAATCAAGAATGAGCAAAGTTTAGAATACCAATTCCGAGGTATCTGCTTCAGCCCGTACAAGGCTTTTTCCATCTTACAAGCCAGTCTTGTTCCATCAGTCAGCTTTTCCCAAATCCCAGAAATTGAACCATAAACACATCTTTATTGAGATCACCATTGAGCAGTGGCGGAACCATATGGGTGATGAAAGGGGACATGTCTCACCTCAACTTTTATGATTTAATTGTATTTATATTTTTAAAAGTTTTGAAATCATTAAAATTAAGCAAGCGTCACTCTTAAAATTTTTTAGTTTAATTATTTTTTAAGACATTATCAATTTTAAGATTAGGGTAAATTATATCAATCATCATAAAATTTTATTTTTCTCCCATATTTTACTCAATGTACTTTTAACTTTTTTTTTAATTAATCATTAAACTTTGACATTATTTATGTTTTGTTCATTCCACCGTTAAATAATTAGAAGTTATTACATGATACACAACATTAAAACCACGTTGGTTTTAAAAATTAAGTTTCTACCAAAATAATATTATTTTGCATATATAAAAATCCAAAATTTCTTTCATTTTCCTTGTTTTCTCTGACGAAAAGGTTAAACTGGAAAGAGCGATAAAAGCCTGAAAATGGTGAGTGGTTGGAGAAGAGCTTTTTGCACTTCTATTGCCCAGAACCAAGACAACCCAGTTTTACCAGAAAAACCAACAGCAGCAGCAAAGCAACGGCACCAAAAGCTCCAAGTTTGGGTGTTTCTGTAACCCATCAACGCCAAGGTTGCAATCTCAACACGTTTCAAGCTCAAATCTTCGTTGTGGAACCACTTCACAACCATTTTCTTCACTTCCCAATAGCCCAAGCTCCATTGCAAGACATCCATTTTCTCTAATCTTCTCTCCCTTAACTCTCCTTTCGATTTCTCCCTCCTTAAAATCATGGAAAGTGACAGAACATGCAAAAGAAAAGGATTTTCTACCCGACAAATCCACATTGTGGTAAACACTTAGGATGAGATTTTGACCAAAACAACTTTGAAATTGTGGAGAGAAAAAAACCCCAAGTACCCATTAATCCTATGATTGCTTACGCTATTTTTTTTAAAGAGAAAATAATCTGACTAAAAATATCTTATAATATACGATTTTAATTAATTTTTTTTTGGATTTGTCAAAATGATCAACTAAATCGCAATGCGATCGATAATTCACAATGCGATCGATAATTCGCAACGCGATCTTCGGTATCGCAAATCAGTTTTCAGATTCGCAACGCGAATTTCGACTATCGCAATGTGAACTTAGACTATCGCAATGCAAATATGTAAATCGCAATGCGAATATGTAAATCGCAATGCGAATATGTAAATCGCAATACGATAGTCGACTATCGCAATGCGAATATGTAAATCGCATTGCGATAGTCGAAGTTCGCATTGCGATAGATGCGAATATGTAAATCGTAATGCGATAGTCGACTATCGCAATGCGAATATGTAAATCGCATTGCGATAGTCGAAGTTCGCGTTGCGATAGTCCAAGTTCGCGTTGCGATTTATTCAAAATTCGTTGCGATAGTCCAAAATCGCAACGACTGGTGGTATTGCATTTGTTTCTTAAGAATTTTCTCTAAAAATATAATATTCACGCGGACGTGTCTTCGACACGTATTAACACGACCACGACCCGAGACGAGACGAGACGAGACGGACGGCAGCGGCGCGCGAGAGTCTCCCTTGTTCTCTATCACTCAACAATAAAGTGGGAAAGCCAAGCCTTAAATATCATTCCCAATAGTATTGCGAATTATCGATCGCATTGCGATTTAGTTGGTCATTTTGGCAAATCCAAAAAAATTGGTTAAAATCGTATATTATAAGGCATTTTTAGTCACTGAGGTTATTTTCTCTTTTTTAAATAGAGAACAATAAATAAATGTTTGATAAGCTTTTATTATATTTCTTTTTTTTTTTAATTTAGATTGGGTATTGTTAAGACGATAACAATCATTTTAATTCAGTTTACTTCATTTGTAATTGTCAAGATTCGAACTCTTAACCGCTTAAAGAGTCTAATATCTCATCTCATTATACCAATTGATTATTAGTATTACACTTCATAATTAAACATTAATAAGAAAACGATCTAGTGAGAAAAAAGTCAATCTAAAAAGAATAATAAACTCACTTTTAATGAGAAAAAAAAAGAATTAGATGACACCTAGAACTCGTAGATCAAACAACCCACCAAGAACTTGTTGATGTCAAAAAAGAAGATAGTCGGCATTAAGTAACCATTTGATGGCACCAAGAACTTCTTTTCTTACATGACCCTAATCTTGTCTTCTTCCAATGGCTCCACAGCAATAATCGATTTTCAAAAACAAAGAAAGAATTGACTTATAATTGAACATCATCCGTAAATTGCAGTTAAGATGTGGTTATTCTAACACGATGTTACATTGTGAGATTAAGACATCAAAGATGAAAGAAAATTTTATGCATGAATGAATTCCTTGACCATGCACTCAGAGGTCCCAACCGAAGAACCCTTTCACTGTAAATCCGGACCAAAAACATCAAAATTAAGCAACCTATTTAATTAAAACCTATTAGATTTCAGTAAAACATACACCATGCATGTAATAATAAGTTGATAATCAAACAATCAATTTAAAAAAAAACAAAAATGGGGAAAAATCAGCAAATAACACTGAATTCAACTAGAAAGAAAAATAACACTGTAAGCATTCACCAAAAGGAGATGATTTGTAGTAAAGTTGAAAGTTGACACATACAAATTTATCTTATTTTGACACGATATTTTTTTATCACATCATTTAAAAACATGGCTGTCTTTCTCAAAAACAACCAAACCATAAGATTTTTCATTGAATAAAATTTTATATTTCAGCCAGGTTAGAGGTTGCAAAATTTTCAAAGACATGATTGCCTTTCTAAAAATAATGAAGATTTAATGTTTGAAGCTTGAAAAAGAAGATAATGATTTGGAAATATTAAATCATAAGCAACTGTGATATAAAAAAATAAATAAATGTATTGTTTGCTCATTTAATTAAATAGAAATCATGGATAGAGTGGTGAACAAAGTCCATAAATTAATTTTTCCACTGGATGAATTTACATATAACATAATTTTGAAATGTTCAAACTTAAAATTTTCTCATATATATAATATTTATTAAGTGACCTATATGGTAAAAAAATTCTCTATGAAAATTTTGTTTCTAGAAATTACTTTCGAGTATGATTAAAAATAAAATTATTTTTATAATATAAAAATGTATTTGTGAAATGAATTATATTAATATTTATAAAATATAACATATTAATTAAAAAATAACTTATAACTTATTTTAAAATACATTAATTTTATGTTATAAATATATTAATATAGGAATATATATATCAACAATACAATAAGTTAATAACTTGACCTCCTGATTAGGTATTGGATTTTCCATCCTAAAGGCCTAAATTCAAGTCCCAACACGTTTATTTTCTAATTTTTCATCTTTGTTAGATGAGTCATCTTATTGATCATAAAATATGCAAATATCATGAAATGTAAACAATATCAAACAGTGACGGATGCATGAAACTTTGAAGGGTTCAATTGCATACCTATTATTTTGAGGAAATTATTAAATATAATTTAATATATTAAAGGAAACAGGGGGATTTGCATACCTAATTTTTTAAAAAATTACATCATTAAAATTTTAGTTATACCACTGATATCAAAACATGATACAGCCATCTACACATCACCAAGCATGCCTCTAGCTCATAAAAATCATACAAACATGCAAAAGTCACCCAAATATGAAGAATTCAACAAAACAATAGAGAATGGTGCAGAACCTACAATTTAACGTACAAAACACCTTCCAACCTTCAATCTTCAGTCACCTTGTCGTTACCTTTGCTCCTCGAGGGTTCTCCCACTTCCTTGATGGGACAAAAGTAGGGAAAGTGACTTAAAGCCTTAAAAAAGTTACAAAAAGACAATAACAGGCAATTTTATAGGCTACCCCCACCCCCCAAAGAGAGAAGTTCTACTTGGTATTGTAATAAATCAAATTCTACAGGCTTTCTCATGTATAATTCGACTTCAATTATTGATGTTCAAGATGTATATTAATACAGAGAAATTAAATCCTCTAATACACTGAGGAACCTCGCCTCTGCCGCATAAGTATAGGTATTTGCACGTTCATAACATAAATTGATGGTTCTTAGACTTTCCAGACAGAGATACATGAAAAATATACACTAACAATGGATTTAACACAAGTTCCAGCGGCATAATTGATCCTACATCGGTCAAACTAGAAAGAACATTCAAACAGGGGAAGGCTCCTTTCACTAATCAATTATTCCCAAGTTTCAGGTCTTTAACATCCATGTATGTCCCGCCATTTGAGGTAAACCAGTCCTGCGCGATAATGAGTGTATGCCCCGGCAAGAACCAAGATGTGAAAAAGCTGGTGGCTGTGCCCAGCGATGTCAAACTTTCCAGGCATCCACCGCTCAGGTATCCTTGCCGCATAGATCAAAGCTCCAATACCATAAAATATCCCCATCAGAACCTCATACCCAGTTGTGTGAAGTGCCTCAGGCTGATTCCAGAACAAGATAAGTTTGTGAAGAATGGGTGCTATTCCTGACATACCCATTCCGAAGAAGAGGGATGCACGGATGGTGCGAAACTCGGGATTCTGAAACACTGGCAATAAGGAAAATAATATCGTAGCGACTCCCAAGATCGTTATGAATCCCAGATAGAGGTTACAGAAGAATGGATCGCACATGAAGGAGTAATACACCGGTGGATAGAAGGAAGTAGATATGAGAGCCGCAATCCCAGCATAGTCTAACCTGAGCATGATATATGATAGACGCTCAGAGTGGCAAGAGAGAAGGTGGCATGTGCTGCTAGCTAGCAAGCAGAACATCGCACCACCCAAGAAAGCAAAAAAAGGCCATCGTGTAATTGGTCTCATCATCAGGGGTGGTATTATGTTCGCCACATCCTCCTTCACACTTTGCTGAAATTAGAAATATAGAATGTGTTAGCTGCATGAACCTCCCAGATGCGCAGTCTGACCATTGGAATTAAAAGAATAGACATCACTGCTTCAACTTTCCACAATTAATAGGTTTGACAGTTCTCAGGAAGCCAATGATGACACATGAAGCGTTCATGCATTTACATTTCTCTTAAAACTACGACACTATGGATCCACCAGTAAAATATGCCAGCTGCAGAAAATGTGACAAGATTCAAACACCATTACGCTCGTGTTTTCCTGACTCTTAAGTGCACTCCCAGTAAGATCGTATATACATGCAAATACTTGAGAAAATTTTTAATTATCACCAAGGTGGCAAATGATTCAACATTGCAAGGACACTAACTAAATATTCCAGATATTGTCTTTAAAACATTGAAAGTTACGGTACAAAAAATCTGCAACACAAAAGCTACAACACAAATATTTACCATATAGGTTGCTTATATATTAAAGAAAGTTTCCGAGATAAATAAATCCTTAAAATTTCCATAGTCTTTGCTTACCAAGAGAACCCTTTACCGAATCATGATATCCATGAAGTAGAATCCAGAAATCCAATATCAACTACTTAGCACCTAAGGCTGCAATCAAATGCCTTCGGCTGTATATAAAGGTTCTAGAGTAAACTTTTCAGGGGAAAGTAAACAAACAAAAAGACATAATTTGATGCCCACAGGTCCTTGGGTTGTTCACATTTATTGACCCATACGATCCTTCTACAAAACACTATAATACTAAAACTTTATCAATGAGTGTTGGGATTTTAATTCCTTGAAGCAAAACTACACTGTCAACAATAGGTCAGAGGAAAAGATCTCTTTATGGACTTTCGGAAGTATTAAAACAACTCAGAAACATGATTCGCATATACAAGATATGTCCATCTAGAGACAAGTTCAAGGAAGGGCCCCACCCTGTGACAAGCGAGTATAAAAAAAATAATGATTAAAGGTCGCCACTTCCCCAACAAGCCTACTGTTCCTTGATACCTTCCTTACCTAGAGCCTTAAAACCTTGCTGGCACCAGCATTTTCTAGTTTTAAAAATTGTGTGATATTCACTGACAAAGAATCGAGTGTCAACATTTCATATTAGGCTAAGCCTTTCTCCATTTCTATAATTTACACCAGAATTCCAGTTAATGGGATACCAGATAAATTCTGGCCAAATTTACTGAACAACTTATCAGCTATTATGGCACTACTTTTGTTGATTTTTTTTCCACAAGACCTTCTGACTGCTCAACAGTAAAATCTTTGAAAGATCTGCAAACTAATTAGTAATTAATTTATCAACCGTTAGCTGGACCACTCAGCTTTGGATTTAAAGCTTAAAACAAATTCAGATTCTATGTCTCTAAAGATATAATATGTCTGTAGTGTCATCTCCTAACAATTATGGAATACTAGTAAGATTTACTACTAACTAGTAAATTTATGGATTCTTTACTGAACTTCCCAGTTAGCTTCAAACTGCAAAGTTAAGATTTATATAGGCTTTTTACTTAAAAATCCTCTTCTTACCTTTGTAACAAAGTCAGCAGTGTAGCCAATAGATGCAAAACATCTATTTATAAACCAGATGGAGATAATAAAGGTACCACATGAGGAACATTTTAAACACCACAAAATTGAACATTTAAGAACACATCAGAATACTAAAAGTAGTGTCAGTCAAGTTATTCCAAAAAAGGAAACCATCTCAACTAAAACCTCAAGGATATAAGTTCTGAATTTGGAAATTTCTTATGATTTATGAAACAGATTATGAAGGGTATGGAACGTTACCAGAACACAAATATCGGTGTGATTTCCAGCAAAGAAACGCTCAGGTAAACAATTGTATAGAAGTTCCCTGAGATGCCAATGTGAGAGGGACAGTAACTCCTCCCGAAGTTTGTGCAAACCGGGGATATTTGTTAAGGAAGACAAACATGTCATTAATTCTGAATGCAATTTGTGTAAATCAGTCTTTCTCAATACATCAGGAATATGCTGCAGAGAGTGAAGATCAACAACCTTTGGAACCTTCATTGCAGTGTATATCGTAATGGAAAGGAAAATAAAGAACCCGATCAAATGCCTGTAAAAGGTAACAGCCATGTTCAATATATCACAGTACAAAAGACAACATATGGTCAATGATCTGATAAAGCAGTTACAACAATGAGAAAACAAAGACAGCACTTCAATTGGTCATACCATGAAAATACTTCACAAATTAAAGCATGATTATGGCAATTTCTATAGTGAATTTCTAATATTTCTCTTTCCAATTCTAAACAGAAAGGCTAAAACACCGTTAACTAATCCGGATAAAGTTAAGCATAGCACTCCTTTCACTTAACATAATGTAAATCCTCTTGAAACAAATACACAAACAAACACACAAGTACAACCAACTAAATATTCCCATATAACCCACAAAAGAAATAATTATTCAAATCTCTAAAGAACTTAGGATTTGCCCAATGAGGTATATAATTTCAGAACTATTTTTCATTCAGTGCATGAAGAAATAAAATCACCCAATTTACTGTCAACTACTGCATTAAACATTTAAACATGAAAGAATTCAACAAGAACAACAACAAAAAAACCTTAAAAGTTACCCTAAGGACTTAGTAAAGGAACTTACGTCCAAACATTCAAGGTTTCATTGTGAATTGTGAAGATGCTAAGCAAAACTTGTTTCATTGGCCATTCTGATCTATAGTGGCCCACGACATATTCATTGTCCTTCAAATATCCAGGCAATGAGTGGTACTCAACCAGCTGATACTTAACCTTTTTCCACAACGTCTTCCCTTTCCCTTCCTTTGAACAGCTCGCTTTAAACTGTTCCATCGTTTCGGTTGCCATATTTGTATCTTCACAAACTTGTTCCACACTGCCCATCTCTCTGGATTCAACATAAAACATTTCACCGACTAAAAAACAAACACAAAATTCACTTAAAGGGGATAAACCCAAGTATCTTCTATAAAAATAAAATAAGATAAAATCTTCAAACATTCCAACAATTAAAAAAAAGAAAAAGAAAAATTCAACAAAAAGGAAAGAAAACGTAAATATAAAGAGAAGATGGGTACCTGAAAATTGAAGAATCGCCGGCTGAGAATGAAAACCCAGACGAGGAATCTTTCTATAAATACAGAATTCTCAGGCGGTGAACTCTAAAAAAGCAAAACATATAACGTAAAAGACAAACACCCAGATGTTAGTTTTGGAAAATAGTAAACAAGAGAAGACAAAGAAACAGGAAAGGAAGTACGAGAAAACCTAACCGCTAAAATCTTCCCAGAAAGCGAAGGAACAAATTTTTTTTAAAAGATATATTGAAGAATGAAAGCGTATAGACGTATAGTACTAGTTCTGAAGGAAAAAAAGAAAATCAAGAAAAAGAATCAGATTCGCTGAAGAGATGCGGAGATACCGAAAGTTGTTTTGTTTCATAGTAGTTGCGTACGTCACGCGGCGTGGCGCGTGATAAATTTTGCATTTTGATAGCGATGGCAGGAATTATCGTTTTAGTTTAATAATATATTTAATTTAGAATAAGTGCCCAACTAAGTTTAATTTAAATAAGTGTCCAAATTATAATTTTTTATTTGAATAGAAGCTTATAATATTTTTTGAATCATTAAGGTAATTAACATTATAAGACCATTTTAATTATTCAGGACTTCATGGTCATTAGTTTTTCTGTAGAGTGATACATATTATAATATGATAAGTTTGATATTTATTTTTAAAAAATATATTAAAAATATTATTATATTTATAAAAAAAATATAATTTCTTTTAAATTACAAAAAAAAAATCAAAATCCCTAAAACTATCAAATCTTAACATTAATTTGTCACAACCATTCTTTTCGATTACGACCACCACCGCATACATAATCTATGTTATCATCCTAGTTATATCACGTTAACACTTCGATTTGATTTGTCTCGAGTATTTATATTATACGATTCTTCCTGTAATTTGAGATAAAATCCCATATTAATTTTATTCAATTTGTTTCGACTTAAGTTTTCTTTTTCTCTTTCATGAGAAATGTAATTTAAAGGATCATCGTGAAAGCTCTTCCTATCATCATAGATTAGACGATAATTATAAAATGTAATTTTATATATGTCTTAGAACGTTTATATTCTCTTATGCCTGGTGGCTAACTCACACACATGATTAATCATTGATTACATATTGTTTATCAAGGCATACTTTGGGGGCTCGTTTCAAAATTCAAAGATATACGTGAAGATTGCACAATCACCCGTAAGATCACAAACGTTACATGTAATGGTAGATAATTTTCTCGTATAGTCCCTTAAAAGCTCATTAGGTCTCTAGGCCACACAAAATGATAGATCTGTTATCCAAACACTATCTGACAAAGATTAGAGATAGTTGTACCTTACAAGTGTCGTGAGTAGGGAGTCGTATCAATTTTTGGCATGCTTTACATTTCAACTCTTCGGAGGCCCTTGTAATATCTATATAGTTCTTGGGACATGTGTTTAGTGGGGTCTTTGGTCCATCATTGATCTCCTGGGCCAACATCTATATAGTTTAGGAAGCTTTTAGCACATTAATTAGGCCTTTACATGATTCTTATTTGCTTTATCCTTTCTTGCTCTCTTGGATCAACATGTTGATACATATATTCAATATTGTTCCCTTTAATTAGGCCTGAGGGGGAACTCTATCTCTGAATTATTTAGATGAGTGAAGGCATGCTCTTGCTAACTCATCTCTTTGACATTGGAAGTTCTTTCTTCTTCTTCTTCTTGCCATCCATTTCCTTGCATCGGAAAATTATTAGCTCTTGAAGAGTTTTCTAGATTAACTTTTATTGTTGTTGGTTTTGCTACTGTCACTTCAATTGAGCCGCTCGGGAGGTTTGGTACTGTGTATGAAGACTTTGCAGCTCGTTTCGCAAGTTATGATAAGCTTAGCAATTCGTCAATTCATACATGACTTGCTATAGTTGGTCGAAAAATTAAGCACATCAAGGGGATTTTAAGAAGAAGATGAGAGATAGTGTTGATTATCTTGCTCTTGGGTTCATCTCAATTATTTTTTTTATCAAAAGGTGATCGACGCTCACTGCATTAATTGTTGATGGGTGAAATGAGGTTTAGTGATTTTTTGATAATTCTCTTCTTATGGTTCGGATGGGGAGCCACAAATGATGATTGGTAGAAGAGAGAGAAGAACATGAACGATGGAAAATCAGATATATAGAGAGATTCTCTTTCTCCAATCTTACATGATGATTTATATACAGACCTTTAGTGTTTGTGTTAGATTTAAATTGACGAGATTACTTGTAAGATGTCATGATAAATAGACATGATTGTCGATAGACTTAATTGATAGATTAGGTAGACTTATCAATGATAATATTAAGAAGCATAATTGATCGATTAATATAGAACCCTGAATAATATACAATTTAAAAAGGGGTAAAATCCTGAAAAATTACAGTAGAAGTGTGACTTACGCAGGAGCCAGGAGGTATAACAAGCTTTAAACCTTCTAACCTGCATGGGCTTAGTTTTCGTTTGCTTGCGGAGAAACTGGAAAGAAATGGAAGGGAAATCAATAGAGGCTAGACTTGGGCCTTTAGATAATTTAATTTTTCTTTTGGACCCAAAATACAAAACTGAAATTGAGCTTTAAGTGCCATTTCAGAAAGAGTTTTGTTTGCCACTACCCACTTCTATATCCTCTGCTTATCCTTTCCAAACACTCCTCCAACTCTGCAGATTGTACCCTAAAACTTTGAGCAGAAGAAAAGGGAAAGGGGAAAAAAATAATGTCGTGGTTAGCTAGATCCATTGCTAACTCGCTGAAACTCGACGAAGAAGATGATGACTATACAAATGCTGCATCGAGTCCGAGAACCGCACCCGACTCAAATTCCGGTCAATCTTCGCCGGATCCCAACACTCCACGTGGCGTTAAAGAAGACATCTCCGAACTCACCAAAACCGTAACCCGCCAATTCTGGGGCGTTGCCTCTTTCCTGGCCCCGCCGCCACCGACGTCATCCAACCAACCACTCGATCAGACTGAGAAGGAAAACTCACCCCGACTGCCGTCCGATGAGGAATTGATAGCGGGAATACGAAGCGATTTGTCGGAGATTGGCGGGAGATTCAAGACCGAAATCTCGAAGCTGTCTAAAAATATTGCCGTCTCGGAGTTCACTAAGATCGCTTCGAATTTTCTTCAGTTTGGATCCGAGGAAGAGAGTCTTGAAAGATACGATAGAGCAAACGTTGTCGGTTTGACGGAAGAAGTTGTGGCCTTGGCTAGGGATATCGCGATGCATCAAGAAACTTGGCTCGATTTTCCCGTGCCCGATGGTGATGGTTTGGATTGTATTTTACTTTATAATTTACTCTAATTTTCTTTCTAGTTTGAAAAATTCTTCCTGGGAATTGGGATTTCATTCGACTGACTTTGATTACTGATTATTGCTCCACTTGCTCTATGCTTTGTAGTTTCTCAATCAGCTAAAGTTTGTAATCTCTATGAAATTTAGCTGAACCCCCCCCCCCCCATATAGTAGGCGGGTGAACAATCTTGTCTGCTTTTTGTTGCTCGGTGTCCTTGATTGCTGAATGGTGGTAAAGCAATTATCAGAACTGCTCACCAGTCTTATGTGAGACCATTCTGTATGATATTTACTGATTTTTTTTTTAATTTCTGTGTCACACTGCGATTGATTTCTAATTGTGAATAAGAACACTTTGGAGTATAAGGTATAGTACTTGTGTTATGCTTTCTTCTGCTTCGTGGTGATACTAGTGACTTCCTTTTTGCTCATTCTTGGCACTAAAAAACATATCTCAAACTCTTGAGAAATTGTTTGAATATTTTGACTTCAAGCTGCACTTGATGGCATATTCCAATGTAAATTTATTTTCCCCAGTATTGGCACTGTTTGCCTTAGTTATACTTGGAATGTTTTGGATATGAATCTGGCTGATTACGATCATTCTTACATTTAAAAAAAATCCAGATTTTTACATGTCTGATGCACAAGAAGAACATGCTTTAGCAATTGAACGTTTTGCACCAAGATTGGCTGCCCTTAGGATTGAACTTTGCCCGGGATATATGAGTGAGGGTTGCTTTTGGAAGATTTATTTTATACTTCTACATCCTCGACTCAGTAAACATGATGCAGAACTTTTGTCTACTCCACAGGTAAGCTCATGGATCCTCTTGTTTTCATTAGTTGAGTCACCAATTTCTGTGATTCAAACTTGATGGAATGTTGTCAAGGAATCACTTTAGGAATTTCATCTACCAACTTCTGAGAATGATACTAATGCATATACTTACAAGTAAAAGATGCAAAAAAAAAATCTTCAGTGAAAGATGAAATTAGAAAATCGACTTGTTTTAAGCATGTCTTTTTCAGACTTGAATATAATTTTTCACCCATTCTCTCTCTTGAGAAAAATATTCTTTTATAATTCTTCTATGCTAGCTGCACTGACTTTTCCTAGCAGTTGCCATCTTTGTCTAAACATATTGTTTTGCAGGTCCTCGTCCTCATCTTTCTCCTTCTAGTTACATTTTCATCTCTTATGCACATGATTTCCCTCGTGATTTAGTTTCCTTCACCCCTGTTCCTCATTCTGTTTTTTCAAATTTAACTGTTAAATGGCCTACATCAGGTAATTGTAGCAAGAGAAATGTTACTGCAAGGGTTACAATATCAAGAAAAGATGAAGGTTATAGAAGATCATTCTGAAAGGGTCACTTCGCAAATGACGGTTGATTTGCCGTGTGAAGAGTCTCTTTCTGTGCCTTTTTCAACTCAATCTCAGGCAATGCTACTTAAGGCATCTGGAAATGAAGACCATGCTATTGCTATAGCTGTTGAAATTGAAACAGAGAAGCTTCCAGTTCAGAGTGCTGAGATGCAGGTTGTTGACAAGTCTGTCATTGAGGAAGAGCCAATGGAACAGATTAAACATCAAGACTCAACATCTGGTTCGTCTGGAGTTTCTGTTGAGAAATTTGAAGATGATGCCGATGACTGGTTAAAAGAGGAAATTTCAGAGGTAGGTAACAGGAGTGCTACCACAATCCCTCTTGGAAGTGACGAGGATGTTTCATTCAGTGATCTTGAGGATGATGATGTGCCAATAAGTTACAAGCAAATGATATCTTGTTCTGATTCTTCGACAAAAGAATCAAGAGATTGGGTGCAGCTTGGCAGGAGCTCTATGGACTCGGTTAAAGATGTTAGCTGTGTTGGTGATAAGCATCCTGGCTCTAACCAGGTAAACGCTCGTAACCCTGAAACCAAGGAATCA